GTTAAAATAAATATACGAGTTAAATTATAAAAGCTGGACTATTTAAAAAACTACTAACTTATATGTTAAAATAAATATACGAGTTAAATTATAAAAGCTGGACTATTTAAAAAACTACTAACTTATATGTTAAAATAAATATACGAGTTAAATTATAAAAGTTTCAAAAATACGATAGCTCGTGGTAACAGTCATTACTCATTAGCAATAATAATAGGTATTATATTATATATTATAAAAATACAAAATAATTTTCAAACTCATACAGTCATACAGCCTACTTATAATAAATTGTCTTAATTATTATAGTAAATATTATTAAATAATAGAAGCCTAAAGGTATATTAAAAGTTTATTTCAAAATATTTTACAATAATACTAATAAAATGTTAGTTCACGGAGATAGTGCCTAGCCAATACCTATACAATAATTACCACACCAATTTGTTTGAATCTAAAGAAAAATTAATAAAAAGTATTGGAAATAAAAAATAGTACAGCATTTTGATCAGAAATTATCCATCCTCTCGTCTAATGGATACACATTGAGAGATAGATGAGAGCAGATGGTAAAATAGGAGAATAATATAATAGTACGTAATTCATTTTTTTTTTTATGTCGGTATCTAAGTATAATAAAACATTTTTTCAAATACCTATAGATTAATATATTACAATACATAGGTACAGATTGTATTGGTGACCGTGACAGTTTTTTCAAATTAAACAATAACGTTATATGTACTCCTGGGATAATATATAAGCTAATACTCACATACATCATGTTCAAATAAATACACTTGTGAAATTACAAATGTCTCAAAAATACGCTAAGTATGTTCAAATAATTTTAATTTTAGAGCATTTATTGTATGCATTTGAAATTTCAAATAACCCATGACGTCTCGCCACCCCCCCCCCCCCCCCGACGGATTTATCGATATCCCTTTTGAACGAATAGCGTACGAACGTTTATATTGCGCGTACAAATACGTACGAATAGTGTGCAAAGTATTGGAAAAAAAATTTTTAAATAACCAATGTCGGGGGCTGGCGTGACGTCTCGCCAGCCCCCCCCCCCTGACGGGTTTTTGATATATCTGAGCCACTTTGTTCATACAAATTCTTCAAAAATGCTTACAAATTCGTACAAAAAGCATACTAAAAGATATAAAAATAAATTTTCAATATTTTTAAAATGGGGGGGGGGCTGGTGTGACGTACGTTTAACATTCAGCATCTTCTTCAGCAGCTTGCTTGGTTACAGTTGTATATTTGGATGAATTTTTTGTGTTTTTAATTATGTTCCCATCATCTTCACTAGATTTATTTGAAAAACTACCTAGATTAAATTATAATATTGATTAGTGAAGCTTCAACAGTTTCGCGACTTAGTCCACGTACCTACCGTAGGAGCTGTTCACGAGGGAAAAAATTCCTTCAACAGCTGCAATTATAAGTAAAGACACGGAAACTGGAGAAGCAAAACAAAACTTCACTATAATAGGTACTTTAAATAAATAAGAATCTAAGGGTCATAATATTTGAATATTTATGCATGATAAACTGGAACAAATGAATTTTACCAACCCCCTCATGATTTTCAAATTTTTTTTTCAAACGTCTTGTTTTTTATGCTTAAAACGATGGTGTAATTTTTTTTTTCCCGGAAACTATTATTTTAGAAGTTATAGCCTTCCAAAGTTTACGATTTTACGTTTATGCGCGTGCGCGCAACGCTACTTGTCTGCCACGGGCAGTGCTATAACAAATAAGATTATTTTTTTTGCGTTTTTTAACAAAAAAATGGAAAATATCCCCCTATTTGCTGTGTAAAACCACCTTGGGTAAGCCTCGGAATTAAACAAAGTTGTTATAAAGCTGTATTTTTTGCAATATATATTTTTAAACTGTAAAGTTGTATATTTCACCTTATAAATTACCTGATTTATAATTTTACTCACCCAAAAATTACTGTCCCACAACTTGTTAAAATACGTAAAAAAAAAAATTAAAATTTGTTATAGGAGCAGCGCGTGGCGCATAAACGTGAAATCGCAAACTTTGGAAGGCTATAACTTCTAAAATAATGTACAGTGTACAGTACACCATTGTTTAAGCACAAAAAACAAGTCGTTTTTGAAAAAAAAATTAAAATCCTGTGGGGTTGGTAAAATGCACTTTAGCTAAAACTATTTAACTTAAGAAACATTCATTATTATTATTATCTAGTTTTTATTCGGAATATTCGAATAGTTTTTATTCGGTATATTCGAATAGTTTTTATTCGGTCTATTCGAATAGTTTTAATTTTAAAATTATTCGTTCATATAAAAAAACATTCGATAGTATAGCCTTACTATCGAATACTATTCGATAGTACCAACTATTCGATAGTACCAACTATTCGATAGTGCCCATCACTAAATTGGACGGTTTTTAAGAGAAAGAGCTTAAGTCAAAAATCGATACTTTTTAGGAGACTGTAACGATGCAGAATTGCCATTCTATTTAATTAGGACGAAATATGTGTCGCCATCTATGTATGCGCCAACGCGCGAACAAAAACTATTGACGCGCGCCGCCGCCCCGACATGAATACCTATTCATATCACGAACTTTTCACTTTGACGACTTATTTAAGTCCGGTGAACAATACAAATTAAAGCTGAACAACGTCCTTAACACAACCAACATACCACGAAGTCTCAAAGAAGTTTGTATTAAGAAAAAACACAACTTAAACTAAGAAAACAAATAACGCAATGACGCCGCATAGAGTGCGCGCCATCACACAGGTTTTCCGACCGTCAACGATTCCTATGACTTTACGGAAAACAGCCACAACAGTCCGTAAAACCATTGTGACCATCGTCTTCCCCAGAAGATTTCACACCAAATACATATAGCCGCCCACGGGGTAGAAGGTCTACAACTTACATAAACGTGATGTAATCAACTACCTACTTCCGTCCATACAGCGCACCACCAGTAATGCGAACATAGCAGAAATATAAGCCAGCACGGCCTATGCATTCATCATACATTCGACATTCAACAAACAGTCGACATTCAATACGCCGTTTTCTTACACGTTTTAACTTACCACCTTTCATTACCAGTGTGTAACTTAAAACCGTCTTCTCCCGCAAAGCCCTCTCCTTATACTCACAGTGTGGGTGGTGGTACGCCTCAAAACGTACTGTTCAAGCCACTCACACTTAACAGTAGACGGAGGGGAAGATCCCCACAAGACTCTCGCTAGGTATCGGTGGTGGTAACCTAACCTAACGCGAAGAGCCAAGTGCACGATTGGCGTGTAGTCGAGGAGGAAACACTAAGCCTACACAGATACATCGAGTACGCAATTGGAGCGCCTAGGAAAACAGCACCTGCGCAAAGGCAAACCAGATGGTCCTTTAGGAAGCTTGATCAGGCGAAACTGGAAGAGGCACTAAAGTGTAATGCATACGCAACAACTAATGACGTCGAGGAAGCTTCCGACCAGACTATTGGATGGCTGTCAAAGGCATGCGATGCCAGTATGCCTAGATCAGGGCAATGCAACCGCCGACCTGTGCCATGGTGGAACACAGATCTTGCACAGCAGAGGAAGAAATGCTTAAAGGCACGCCGAGCATACACGCGGAAAAGGAAAAAATCGGACGAAAACGGTTGTATGGCTGAACGCGAATCCTTCCAACACGAAAGAAAATCGCTGTCGACCATGATTCAGGCGGCAAAGGAGGATAATTGGAAACGGATATGCGAACTCGTAGACAACGACCCATGGGGCCTTCCCTACAAAATTGTAATGAGGAAGCTCAATATCAGGAAGCCGATCCCCGGCATTAACCTACCAGGACGCATGGACACCATAGTGGACAATCTGTTCCCCACCAGGGTGAACACTCCGAGGACAATCGTTGACGTCAGTTCAGAAGATCTCGAATAGGCTTTTTTCGCACCGAGCGGAAGAAATGTCTAACGACAGTCCCCGCCCAGTTACGATTTAACAAAAAAAAAAAAAAAAAAAAAAGGTATCGGTGGTGGTACGCCTAAGAACGTACTGTTCAAGCCACCGGTTGCAGTAGTCGTTGTCCGTCCCTATTGCCGCCGCCGCCGCAACCGGTGGACTCGTAATTTAGTACGCCGCGTGTTACTATTTTCGCCGCTAATCACGAGCGCCACTATCGTCACGCCGCGTGTAGTGCTGTTACCGCCACCACAACGAGCGCGCCGCAGTAATACTATCAGCCCATTGTCATATCCCCGTTGATTTTGTCGTCGTCACCACGTATCGCAGACGTATTGACGGTTCGGACGTACGACAACAAACGCATGATATTGTACTGATAAATACCACAATACCATCGACAGCGTTGGAACCAAGTCGACAAGGAGAGTCCAGTACCTGTGCCCCGAGGACGAGTCATAGCCACCGCCCGGTAACACTTTTCATTGTTGTAGTCCAGCACCACCAACAGAGTCGGCTGTCATTGGACACAACATCATTATATTTGTTCTCTCACTTTCACGGTCCACGTGAGTCTTTAATATTTATATTTATCATTACACATTTAAAAATCATATTTGTAGCTCAACGAGCGTATGTAAAAGAAAAGAATATATTGTAAACTATTGAATAAAAAATAATAATTCTTTTCCAAAACGTAAGAATAAAGAAACACCATATATTAAACAAAAACAACCTGTGTTTTGCATTCTTACAAGACACAAAAAACATTATAACTGTAAATTTTTAATGTTTTTTAATTTTGTATTCATAATCATGTTTAATAAGTGTTTTGTTAATTTAATAAAAATATATTTTAATTTTATTTATTTTCTTCAAATTTGAATGACCTATGACCTACTGCATATACCAGTTAACTTGAGCCCTTTCGCATCATGACTTAAGATCTATTGCATGTAATTGTATAAGACTTATGCCCTTTGTCATAGATCATATTATTACAATATTATTTACTTATTACTCATGTATTTCCTTGAAAATGATGAATAATCACATATTTATTTATATTTAAAATAAAAAATTACAAATTACAAACACACTATTTTATATTAATAATTGTTTAAAATATACACATTATTTATTGTAAAATTTCTATAAAATAAAATAATTATACACTTGATAAAATAAGTTTAAGAATAAAAGTATGTTATACATTAAATTAAATAATAAACTTGATAAAAGTATGAACTCCAAAAATTAACTCATAACAATTTATGTACCTACTTCGGCAAAATAAAATAAAATAATAAAAACTTAAATTATTACACTTAAATTAATCAATCATTCACTCATCTTAAGTAATTGGTTAATATCATAAAAATAAAATAACATTAACAACACTTATAAAATCTTTTTAATCATATTTAAGTTTAAAATTAACACAAAAAATTATAGAACATTTCATAACGTTATAAAATTGATCATAAGACCTCAGTCACATTCCTCATCTGAAATAAGTGGATCTGTGACATCATTCTTTGCTTTCAAACTTTGGTAATATTGATGAAAAACTTCAGGTATCAATGGTAAAAGTGTTAATAGGTATTTTTTTTTTCATTTGTAATTGGCAGTGTATCATTATAAGCAATCGGTAAAATAACATCATTCATAGTTTCATTCATATTTTTGGTACGAGACAAATCCAATCTTTTAAAAATAGCATCTTCTTTAATTGATGTCTTGTAGAAAATAGTTTTTTTTCTTCTTTTGTATGCCGTAACCATTTTACTTCTTGAAATACAAATTTCTCTCAAAGTGTATTTTTTTTCTTCATATTATAATACTTTGTTTTTAAAAGACCCTAGAAATCATAGAAGTTGCTTTAATTCATATCTTCGACCTTAAACTTTTCTTTTCCTGCCCACCGTATTAACTGTGCCCAATCATAAGGATGATTTATTGAAGTTGGGTACCTTTTTCGAGCTTTTTCAATCCTGGCATGATCAGAATCGCACTCAATTCTGGTATGACCGGGGACCATGAATTTATGGTCTATTACTGTAATAGAGTCATGTTTCTCTAAAAACCATAGACACATTGCCATAATAATGCTGTTTTTGTTCTGACCTCCACAACAATCACTATACATAATTTATTACAAAATGGTTTATTTCATCTGAAAGCTTACCTAAATAATCATATAAACAGGAACCTATATCATTAGCCCCTCTTTTAACTATAGGCTCACTCCAAATATAACAGGATGCATTAGAAGATATAATATTATGTATTGTCAAATTGTAAGTCCAGAGTTGTCGCTTACAAAATACAACCGATAACTCTAAAGATGGTGTAAGGAGGCATTGCTGGAGAATTCAAAGGCTAACACACATGTATTCGTTAAAACTGTTGATGCATCCATTTTTTTTTTAATTATATGTGTCTTCTGCACTATTATGATGTTTATTTTTTTCAATTAGAAGTTTCATTTTGTTTTCTTTAAATTATTTAAAAGTTACATTTTAATTCTGCCACACTGAGCACACGTATCTTTTTTAGTGTTTTTTATCTTTAAGCCAGATTTTTCAAAATGCTTTTCATAGACTGCTCTACTTACTGGGTTGTCAACTGATTTTACATAATTGCTATATGCGCATTGTAGTGTGTAGTAAGGAAGTAAATATTTTTAGCCGCCTCCTTCCGACAGTAATGGCTTTCATAGCTGGGAAGCTTCTTAATATGTTTTTTCACTAATGCTATATCCTCAACACTCTTTTTATTGTGAGGTTCTCTACGTCCCCTTTCATCTGGTGTAGTCATATTTGCTGGAGAACTTAATTTTTGTTTGCATATATTATTTAAAAATGTTGATGTTTCCCCAAATATTTTAAGAAAACAACCCTGGCAAACCGATTCCAAACTATTATCTTTAGGCACATAATAATGACGAGTATTGTTTCTCTTTCTTTGCTTTTCTGGAGTTTCTGTTCTTTTCCTAATAGTTTTTTTTTTCACCAAATGTAATATAGGCTGAAATATATGCAACTCTTCTCTCATAACTATTCATGGACCAATATATTCTAAATAATTCTTCTCTTAAGTTGTCATCTATTTTGGAGCTACATTTAGCTCTACATTCAGATAATGGTACAGAACATCTAGATTTTACCGTTTTTCCTTTATTGGTTACGTATTCTAAACCAGCGTTTCTATTATCTTTTCGATATTGTCGATATTTTGTAGTATCACATTTTATGCTAATTCTTGTTTTTCTCTTAGAATGGTCTATATTTTGGTCATCATCATTTTCAGGAGTTCCAGGAATCACACTAATACCATCATCTAGATTATTGTTATTACTTGTACCTTCCACTTCATCATTCACCTCATTAATTAAGTTACTATGATCTGGACTACAAAGTTAAATATCAGAATTCTCAAAGATCTACATCAAAATAAAAATCAACTGAATTAGCAACAGCCAACAGGGTATTTAAATAAAATTGAATAGTAATAATAATATTACCTATTAAACGCATGCCCCTATTAAGTGATTGACAGAAAATATAAATACTACATATTGGCATATAAATGTATGTAATAATTATAAATAAATAAATATGAATAATTATAAGTATCACATTCCTAAAATAAAATAAAATATATGAGTAATGATTTAACTTCATACAATTTTATACATTATTTTTAACAGCTGTTTCTAATGGAAAAGAAATTAATGGCAGCAGAAACATTCATTTTTTGAAAGTTGTCAGGATATAAGAATTCATGTTTCAAGTGGCATAGAAACCGTAATTCTTTTTTATTATCAGTTTCCCACTTCCATAATGTTTTAACGTGTTCTCCAGTCACAACTCGAGTAGGTAGGTCTAATTTTTCAATATATTCTGCAGGTAGTGATGAAGTGTTATGCATTTGTTTAACATAGCATTCTTTAAGTTTTTTAGAAGGTGGCAAACATCTGGTAAAACAAAAACATTTGAATCATCGAATCTGAATTATTTTTGCCTAGTACCTGTTCGTTGAACTTTAACATCAAGTTTGTTCCACAGAGTTCGATTTTCTGGACCCACATCAGACCCATATGAAATTACTTGTAATCCAACTTTTTTACACTCAGACAAACATTCCTCGATAAATTGTTTCATAGCAAACCCATCCACTGCGGTCCCTGTAATATGACATCCAATAACTTGTTTCCATTTTGATTTTATACCACGGATAACAGCCACTAAAAGTTTACTTCCCGTTTTTCCTTTTTCATGATCTCCAAGAGTACAATAACCACCAACTTCTGAAGTATTTTTATTATATGTTAGCTGATTGCTGATTTCCATTGAATCCGTTGATTAAAAACATATTCTGTCAGAATAATCCATTTCACTTACTTTAAATTGTAAGGTTTCAAAAATATCATAGAAAACACCAAAAGACAGTTTTAAGTAACGGACACGATAAACGAGGGTGTTATAGCATGGTAAAGGGAAATTATTATTTCGAAGATAATTATAACCGTGTATACTAAGTGCATATCTTAATTTAAGAGCTTTAATAATTGTTTCTTTACTCCATTTCCTTATCGGGTTCTCCAATGATTTCAGCTGCTCGTCACTTATAAAACTTTGAATGTTATCTACTACTTGTTGTCGATTCGATACTTCTTGAATTACTTTTATTTCAGCTTGTAATTCTTCAATTTTTTTTTATTTGATGAACACTGATCACACAGAAAATAAAAAAAGATACAATATATTATATTAAAATTATGCTTAGCAAAATGTTCCAATGGTGGTTGTAACTATTTAAATAACAAGAAACTTAATGTATAATATTAAATTAATCAATAACAAAATTTTAATTTTAAATAGTATTCAAGATATTATTTATATCACCTATGAATAGTATGACGAACAAATAAAACAAGAATTGTAAATTGTTGATATTCAAATATTGAAAACAAATAGGTACATCATTGTAAAAACAATAAGTATATTATTTTCTTTACTCAGAATTTAAAAATTATATTGCAATACTTACTGGTAATTCTTCTGAAATAGGATCACTAATGTTTTATAATGCAGGAATATTCTCATTTTGGGTATTTTTAAATACACAATTCATATCCTTTAAAATCAAAATAAATAGTATTAATTA